CGGGAGATTGTCACTCCTTCCTTCTGGACTTCCGTGAGGCCCCCAGCCTTGCGGTCCCGCCCAGGCTCCTTCTCTGTCCCGTGACCTTGGTGAGTGTGGTGCCGGCCTGAGGGTTTTCATTCCCAGATCTGCAGACAAAGTGCAGACCTCCTTCCTGAGCCCCCAGCCATCACTGACAGCCCCCGGGCTTCCTTCCCTCTTGGGTTGGCAGTGTCTGTACTGCGGTTCATGGCTGGTGCCACCAGAGCCATCAGTCACCGAGCCAGAAGCCTGGAGTCAGCGCTGCCCTCGCCTCTGGAACCCCCAGTGCCTCCCTTGGCTTCCAGTCTCCTGGCCCTGGGCGGCGGGCCCCTTCCCTCAGCTGTAGGATTGTGCTGGTTTTCCAGTGTGTCTGTCACGCCTTTCCTCACCCACAGGTTAGCTGTCCTGGGTTCCTCTCTCTCTCTGGTATTTTAAAACATGTTTTCTTGCTGATATTTCAGATTTTTTTGGTTAGGAGGATTATATTTGAACTTAGAATCCTTTAAAACTGAAGGGGTTTTCAGTTGGATATGAGGGTAGGTTTCAAGATATCTTTGTCCAGATAATTTTATATGAAAATAGTTGATAGGTACACTCTGAGATTCCCAAGAATTTCACCAACAATTTATTCGTCCACTATTCTGTTCGTTCATACTATCAATTTTTACAAAATCTTCTGTAGCGGTATCTAAAGAAGTGTGTCTTCGTCAAAAGCAGCCTCATCTTCCCCGTGTTTTCTGCTTGCATGCTTTCGTTTTCAACGTTTCATTCCTGTTTCCATGGACACAATCTTGCGGCTTCAGTACCGCGTTTAGAAAGGTGAACACTCACGTGAACACTCACGTCGATGGTGACTGTGCTTCTGCAGCCATTTTCCACAGCCGCTGTGCCTCCGCTGCAGAGGCCTAGTCCCCGCCTTGCCAAGGGTCTGGACATACAGCCGGCTTCTGTGACTCTTACTTGGGATGGAAATGTATTCAGAATCGCTTCATGTGAGCTAAGTATTGACTCAAGAAACGTCATTAACTTGAAAACTCATCTAAAAGATTTTCAGGACCGTGCAGGTCCTTAATTTCAGTCTGTGTTTAATACAACAAAATTCTAGCTGTGCAAAAACAATTCAGGCGGTCCTCATAAAGGTTCTGTTTTAGTGGTGGAATTTAATCTGTATCAGTATTTGGTTATTTCTAAAGATACCATAAATTTTAAAAGCTGCATTTTGTTGACTTGCAGGTCGCTCCTTGTGGTCCACTTCTGGGCACCATGGGCTCCACAGTGCGCTCAGATGAACGGCGTGATGGCGGAGTTAGCCAGAGAGCACCCCCAGGTTTCATTTGTTAAGGTATTTCAGCTTCGGCGTCATGTCTTTCCTGAGTTTATTTCCACTGTGAGAGAGGAGTGGTGTGCAGTTCTGCATGTTTATGATTGGCGTTGGGCTCTGTTATTTTTGCAGTCGATTATTCCTAAAAATCTTAAAGTCGTTCTGTATTTTTCAAGTACCGAGCGGTGTTAAGACTCACCCCACTTTCCATAATGTGCACATGAGGGAGGGTGGACCAGTGCATGGCCCCGGGGAGCCTGGGGGCTCTGTGCACGAAAGCAGGTCCTTCACTGTACAGTTTGGTTTGGATGTAGGAAAAATATTAACGGGGGATGTGTTTCAGTGAAAAGCGAGGTGTGATGTGGAAAGTGGAAAAGTGATCTAAGAAAGGATGTGTAAGGTGCGAGGAACCAGGGGACAGACAGGATGACGCTGCTGTCTGGGACTGGGCAGAGCTCCAGGACAAACGGAAATTTTTTTCTAGCTTGTTCAGGAAACAGAGGAAAAAGGAAGCCAGACAGTCTCTCTCTTGCCTTCTGGGTTTGTACTTTGTTTTAAATAACGCCTTCCTGGTTCTTGGTCCCTTCTGCACGCTGCGTGCTCCTGGTGTCCCCGTTGGGTGGGTGGGCCCTGGGAAGCGATGACTGTGGCTGAGTCAGGTTGCCTGGGGCAGCACACACAGCGTTATCACTCAGGACATGGTGCTAGCTTAGGCAACAAAGCCAAAATGTGAGTTGAGGCTCTTAGAAACGAATTGTTGGAAAGGGAGGCACACCCTGTATTCAAAATCTGAATCCTTAGGATTTAAAACAGGCAAACAAACAACCAAAGCCTTATTATTAATTAATTAATTAACTTATTTATTTTTAATGCCTGCAGCACCTGGTATTCCCAGCCCATCTCTCATCTAAGTATTAACCAGGCCTGACCCTGCTTAGCTTCCGAGATCAGACGAGATTGGTCACGTTCAGGGTGGCATGGCTGTAGACTTAAAACCTTGTTTTTTAAAACCAGAATTTATGAGTTCATAGGACACATTGGCAAGTATACCTGTATATGGGGTCAAAAATGACATTAGCTGTGCTTATATGCCGCTTTTTATGTAGACACAGAATTCAGGCAGGGTAATTTATTTGTATAGTAGGGACGTAATTTTCAGACAGTCGCTATGTAGATAAGTGCGCTTTGAATAGGAGTCACACTTAGATGGCTCAGAAATCACGACGGGGTAAGAAGCTGCGCAGCGAGAAGGCTCACGTGCTCCTTCCAGTTGCCCTTTGTCCCACTCTGTGAGTAACTGTGTTAATTTGTATGAATCCTTCTGTTATTTCTTTACGCAGATAGAGCAAGTATAAATATAATGACTTGCTTTTTAAAATTTAAGGACTCATTTAAAGTTCAAATGAAATGTGTAATGTAACCTCAGAATGTAACCCTAAAATGTCCAATATAAATAATAGAAGGGGACATTAAAACTGCATGTTTGGTCAGTGATAAAAGATAATGATTACAAGTGAGATGAATGATTAAACATTTGAATCATAAGATTAATCAGGATTGATGGTAATTGTTGTAAGTCTGCTTTTATGAGTGTAACGTTACTGGTTTAGGTAACACGTTTTTCTTCGCTACCATCTGAATGATTTATGGAAAATGACTATGGGATTACTTCTCACATTGGTACCAGACTTGGCAGCGAGACTTTAAGTCGTTCCAAGTGCTGAAGTGTCTCAGCAAGCCAGGGGTTGGGAAGCCCTTATCTGCTATGGATACCTGACCCGATCGCACCTGCCATTTACGGGGAGGGCGACGGTGTCGACGCGTAGTGTGTCCAGGTGCTGTCACTTTCTGGATAGTCTCTCGATGGCATAGTTTTCTTTCACTAGACATCATCAAGGGCAAACACAGTTTGCATGGAGTTTGTAAGGCAGGTAATTTAAAGGCCACACTGCTAAACAGCAGTGGGCCCACGTAAACCTGCGTGTGTCCTCGTAAGAGGCGCATGGCTCATCAGAATAGCTTTCTTTTCCTAATGAAAGCTTCTTGAAGCTTCTGGGCTGTAGAACTGATGTTCTACTTTTGTATCTTTTACTATGATTTCTTAGTCTTATTTATTTTTTATTCATTCATTCATTCATTCTGGGCTGTAGAACTGATGTTCTACTACTTTTGTATCTTTTACTATGATTTCTTAGTCTTATTTATTTTTCATTCATTCATCCATTCATTCATTCATTCATACGTACGTACGTACGTACATACGTACATACATACACACACCTACAGCACTTGGTCTTCCTAGGTGGTCTCCCATGCAAGTACTAACCAGCCCGACCCTGCTTAGCTTCCGAGATCAGACGGGATCGGGTATGTTCAGGGTGGCGTGGCCGTAGACGGTTTTGTCGTTTAATTACTGTTTTGATTGCTTTTTGACTGCGTGGCTGTAAGGACCATGGAGGACTTGGTAGGTGGTAGGGCTTGGGGTAGGAACCTTTACCCTGTCATTTTTTTTTAAATTGCTTTCCTTCGTGTAGGTAGCTCCCACCTCCTATGCCAGCCTCTCTCCCCTGCCCCCTCTGCCAGCTTAGTACCCCAGTCTTACTGGGCTCTGGTACTCATTTTACCATATGATGCACTTTGGTACCAAAATTATCAGTCAGGCTTATCAGCCATCTGGTTGGTGAGGTTCTATTGTATCGTATTTCCTTTAATAATAATTTTGTTTGTGTAATAGCTGCTGTACTCGCATTTTATGTCCACTGCAACTTCAGATATAAGGTCAAGGATACAGAAGGACTTATATACTTAAATTTGTACTTTTTCATTCTTTAGAAAATAGGAGCCTTTATAGTTTGATTTATTCTCAAACATGCAACCATCTTAAAGCTATAGCTCACACTTTAATTTCTGCAGATCTGTACGATCAGTGTAGATCATTTGTGTAGCTTATACTCCATCATTCTAAACGCCTGTGTAATTAGCACGTGTAAGCAGTCAGTGTAGGGCGGTCTCCGGAAGGTCACTAGCTAGCTGCATAACTAGGCAGCAACTAGCTGAGTCCCTGTTTTTCCTGTTCTTCCATGACCAGCTTATTCAGCATCTTAGCATATATAAGATTAATTTTTTAGGAATTCTAAAAATGTTTCTAGTAGAATTGTTAAATCTTAAAAATATCCTAGCTTTTATCTATGCTGTTGTGGTAATAAAAAATAACGTAGTTAACACAGTTTATTAGCTGGTACTTTGCTAAGTTTGGCAAAAGTCTGTAAAAAAAGTTATCAAGAATGTTAATTTAAATATTTATTTTGAAATGGATATTCGTCTGACAGAAATAATTTGATTTTTAAAAAAAATTTTCTTTTGTATCATATGTCACAGGGTAGAAAGAAGCCTCTGAGGTTTGACCAAATGTCCCTGAATGTAGGCTTAATTGTTCCCTCCTCAACCTTGGAGGCTCAGCGCTACCACCAGCAAGCGTTCATTCCCATTGTTGGCGTAGGAATAATGGCCACCGTTTGTTCAAGTCTGTCAGAATTTATTTGTTGGACACTTAACATGGCACACATCATGCTCGTCACGGGGAATACGGAGCAGGAAGAGTATAGACCGTAAACGGGTCACGTAGTATCGAGATGGTAATAAGTGCCACAGAGGAAGAATCGGCGTGCCGCGCAGGACGGGGACTTGGGTAGGTGGGGTGTTCTGTTCAGCTCGGGCTCGAAAGAGCTAAGCAGTGAGAAGGAGACAGTCGTTGAAGAGCCGCGGAGAGCTTTTTGGCAGAGGCTTGGCAAGCCACGCGGGTAGAGGGGCGGGCCCAGGCTGGGCCAGCGGGGCTGGCAGCGGTGCTGGCAGCGGGGCCTCGGGGCAGGGGGAGAGGCGGGTGAGGACTGGAGGACTGGGCGGCCTGTGGGCGGGGTGGAGCTGGGGCTTCGCTCCAGGCTGGAAACCCGGCCCAGCTCCTAGGTGGATTCCTCTGGCCGCTGAGTGGGGAATGGCGTGAAGCGCGGGGGAGCGCAGACCGGTCAGGTGGCCGGCGCACTGCACCAGGCGGGAGAGGCCTTGGACACAAGCAGGGAGACAGCGCTGACATGATGGTCTGAGTCCGCTTATGCTTTGGTGGGAGGACCCAGATGACCCATGGATGGCTTGGATGTGGGGGAGAGAGGTGGATTAATCACAGTTGTTAACTTTTTGATTTGAGCAAGTGGATGGGTTAAGTGACAGAGACCTGGTTTAGTGGGGAAGGTCCGGGGCAGACGTTGAGTGTGTCGTTGGAGGTGGGGGAGAGGTCTGGCTTGGGTAGAACTTGGCTGTCGTTGCCACCTTGGGGTTCCCCTGAGCTGTGAGGTCGGGCGAGGCCGCTGGAGGGCACAGGCAGGCTCGGAGCCCGGTCCTGGGGTAGGTGGCCGTGTGGCGGTTGGCCAGAGGTGAAGAGGCCCGAGATGAGTGAGAGTTAGAGTGGGGGAAAGGAAACCTGGAAAGCCGAGTGCGGGGGTCACCAGAAGGTGGTGTGGTTGTGCCCTGAAAGGCCAGCACAGCGAATGACCGTGAGGCGTGGCAAGAGGCAGCGGGGCCGTGGAGCCGGGTGGCTCCCCGCGCCATGCAGCACTGTCGTGATCTGGACCGTTGCCCAGTACCTTGCGTCCCAGCCTCTTCCATAAGATGAGTGTAGCGACTGTACCGATTGCTCTGAAGGATTAGAGTCCGTACGCCAGATGCACCTAGAACCTCGCCTGGCCTGGGCGAAACCAGTCATGGGCCTGCTCTCCCGGTGGTCTTGCAGACTCCTGGTAAATCGAAGTGGACTCTAGAGAGACTGCCCTCCTTCTGGATTTCTCTTGTGGTGACACCTCCCTGCCTCTGCTCACCCCTTCTCCACAGACACGCATGGAATGGGTCCACGTTTGAGGTACACGGTCCCGGGAGCAAGGGGTCCCCACCAAGGGCACTCTGCATGGGATTCCGTTCTGGAAGTGTGCTTGTTTGCTGGTCCCGAAGTCATGTGTAAATCCTGCCTTTGAAATTTCATCTTTCTTTTTGATTGTTGTGGTCGAAAAAGTTAACCATAGTATAGTGAAGAGGGCACAGGCAGGCTCGGAGCCCGGTCCTGGGGCAGGTGGCCGTGTGGCGGTTGGCCAGAGGTGAAGAGGCCCGAGATGAGTGAGAGTTAGAGTGGGGGAAAGGAAACCTGGAAACCAACACAGGCTTTGTAGTCAGACAAACTAGGGTTCGCTTCTCAATCTAGCTACTTAGCAACTGTGTGTCTGGACAAGTCACCTATGTGCCTAGCCACCTGTGAAGGTGAGATGGTGGTGTGCCACAGCCCTTCTGGTCGTGCGTAGACTACGCACGCTTCTGCGAGGGCCCACCATGCTTTGTGGCCCAGAGCAGGCCTTCGTGGAAGACGGATCTGCTGTTGACCGTCTTTGGTCTCTTCCGAATGCAGATCATTCATGTCTTTTCTGTTCTCATTGTTATAAATCACATCCAACAAAGTATTTCCAAAGAGGTTTAGTGTCGCACAGGTTTCAAGGATGGGGCAGTGGCTTTGCCTTTACTGATGCTCCTGGCCTGTGCCCATGAGGGTGTCTGCCACTGCTGCCTTTGTCTTCCTAAGCTCCGGTCTGGGAGCTCACAGTGGGGGGCGGGTGGACTTGTAGGGGCCCTCCGGCTTTAGCAGGCACGTCAGGGGGGTAGTTTGCATCCCAGAAGAGCTGTCAGTAAGGGGCCGTACTGGAAACCAGCAGAAATCCGAGAGGAGAGCGGCTTTTAGCACTTAGGCGTTTGTTTTTATGAGTCAGGATGAGACCTGTCTTCTCTGCTTTAAGACCATTTTATCTCGTTTCCACTTAGTATCGCCTTGTTTTTGATTTGCATTTTCTGTTGGGCGGGGCTCTGAAGTGAGCCTGGCCTTCGACAGCGTGGGAACGCCTCAGGCCTCAGTGGGGTGAAAGAAAATCATAAGCTGCCTTCATCAGCACCTTTTCTGCTCCTCTTTGGTCGGCCGGTGGAATTGTGTGAAAGAACATCACCGAAGTTTCTAAAACTTTAGTCAGATAGCTGCCTCCGAACGCTTTGTCTTTTCGTTCTTCTTCACTTTTATCAGAGAGTCGACATTGATTGAAACGCTTTGTCTTTTCGTTCTTCTTCACTTTTATCAGAGAGTCGACATATATTTTTCACAAAAATACATTTAAGAAAATGAAAGTAATTGAAAATATTGTTTTAAAAGGATGTTCCTAAGAAAAAGGAATTGCAGTAGTCATAGAGCACCCCAGAATACATGAGGCGGAAGGTACATAGAGCACCCCAGAATACATGAGGCGGAATTGCAGTAGTCATAGAGCACCCCAGAATACATGAGGCGGAAGGTACGAAGCGAAGACACGTATCAGGGTCCTTTGGGATAGAGAGACGGCGTCGTTCTAGCTCTCGGTGAAAACAGTGTTCCAAGCCCAGTGGAAATCTTGAAAAAATACAGTAGATATATTTAAACAATTTTAACAATGTCGTTTATCAATAAATTTTATTTCCTACAGGTATAACGTGAATACCGATTTTTATTGGTTTTAAAAAGTTTATATTACATTGACAGTTCTATGAGAGAAAGATGAAATATATCTCGATTTTTCTCAAAGTACATTGTTTATAAAGCCCTTAGTAAATAGCTCACAGTAATCGTGTTCTAATTATTTGGAAATTGTGCTAGTAAATATGTTTAAATCCGTGCGTCAGCCATCACGTCATATATTGTTGAGGAGAAATCATCCAACAGAACGCAGTCATCTGACTTAACGCGCATGCAGTGAGACCCACGGCAAGTAAGCTAGCAAGCTGCTCAGGGCCCTGCAGCCTTGCAGGAGTTAAAAGTAAAATTTATCAGACATCAATAGTTTATTGAAGAAATACTCCTTTTTGCTTCATAATTTGCAGAAGGCTGCAACTGTCAGTCATGATGTACTGCCTCTTGAAATTAGTCAATAGAGCAAACAGCAAGAATTGCTGTGGGCAGAAAATAAGCACTGTAATCATGACATAACTGGGGTCAGTGATTTATGGATTTCAATATAGTAGTAGCTGCATATGATTGAAAATTTACTAGGTCACTAGTGCACCAAAAATTTTATTCACAGCCTCCAGGCATCTTTTGAAATGTGCAACAAAATAAAAACCTCTGAACCTGTTTTGACACTGCAGACTCAGTGGATGACATGCCAGCCCAGTGAGTCTCATTTAAATGTAAATGTGTCATAAACTTTTGTACGGTACTCTTTAAAATGTCAGCTACTTGAAGGGATAATGCACAGGAAACTGATTTACCTATTGAAGTAGTATAAAAAAAGGACCTTTTTTATAATCAAGCTTAAATTCTTTTATTTTAAAGTTGGAAGCGGAAGCTGTTCCTGAAGTATCTGAAAAATATGAAATTAGTTCAGTTCCCACCTTTCTGTTTTTCAAGGTAAGGTTAAACATGGCACTAGAGATTCTCTGTCCTGGGCCCGTGGCGGGGGGCATGGGGGAGGGGTCTGTTCTGGTCCCTTATACTCACCAATCTCTGATTATTGGGCATTGAGTTGTTCCGGCTTTGCCTGCCTTCTTTCTTTGTTTGTTTGCTTGCCCTGGCGGTCCTGGAAAAGTGACAAGAACTGTAGAGGTCCAGTAGCCAGAACCGGAACTTGCTGAGAAAAATCCAGATACATGCTGTAGACCCCAAGCACTCCTGAGCTGGGTCGGCGTGGGTTGACAGGACATGCGGCCGGACGTAATGCAGCGGCCGGCCGGTTCTGGTCTGATTAATGACGCTTAGGAAGCGGCTGCAGATCTGTGCTTCCGGGCGCCTCTGGGTGTTACTGCAGCTCCCCAGATGCTTCCTTCGCACTTAATGAAGGAGTCACCCGGCCAGGTGCGGGGATCCTTTCTGCTTTAGTTCCACTCTGATCCGGTGGGAGTTTGAGATGTAAGGATGTTTAAGCCGCCCAGTGAGTCTCATTTAAATGTACATGTGTCATATACTTGTGTACTGTACTCTTTAAGAGATTCGATTTTTGGAAATTTACAGGTGCTTTCCTAGTATGTTTCCAAAAAGGAAAGAAAAAGAAAACATTTATTTTAAAATGCAGGCGATTGGTGGTTAGATTTTTTAAAACTTCTCCAAGAACAGTCCTGACTCCTTTACAAACTGGCGAGAACTGCGCATTCGTACTTGTGACAGTTTTGGAGCCTAAAATGCAGAGACGATGGAGGAACGCCACAGTATTCTAAACGGGTTTTTTAACTTCAGAATTCTCAGAAAATTGACCGATTAGATGGTGCACATGCCCCAGAGTTGACCAAAAAAGTTCAGCGACACGCATCTGTGGGCTCTCTCCCACCCAGCGGTAACGAGCACCCCAAAGAAGACCTCAGCCTGCGACTGAAGAAGCTCACGCACGCCGCCCCCTGTATGTTGTTCATGAAGGGGACCCCGCAGGAGCCGCGCTGCGGTAAGGAGCCGCCTTGCAACCGGGGGACGGGGGCGGGGGGGCCCTGGCCGGGGTCGGTGCCCGTGAGGGGCCCATGCGCTCGTGAGGCTGCCCGTCTCATACTTGGGTTCGGAAAATCAGAAAGGGTGCAGTGTCACTGGGTGACGTGACTCAGTTTGCACTGTGGACTCGGGGAATGTCGGAACCGGGAGGCAGGGGAGCAGACATCTGATTCAGGGTCTTTGTTGTATACGTAAGTACCCGGAGATAGGAGGGCAGCACACTCAAGGTCACCTGGTGGCAGAGCTTGATCCGTTTCCAACGACTGTGTTTCTGGCTCCACGAATGGGCGTTTTGCCTGTTTAATTATGCTACGAACACTTAGCCTCTCTTTCTTGGCAGCCTCCTTTTATTCACCTAGTCCAGATTCAGCAGTTTACAAATTTACAGAGTTTGACGGTGGCCCTGTGTCTGCCCTGGGTCCTTCTGCCTTCCCTGTTGTCTCCCAGCGTCTGATGGTTGTGTTTTTCACTCATTGCTGTCGTCGCCAATGCCATGGTAACTTAGAGATTCCTCATTCTGTGGCTTATAGTCACTCTTGTTTTCTGAACCACACATATGCTCATAATTTTGTCCTTAATTTTTGGAGCTCTTTGACCCCTCTGCTATTGGGTTTCTGTTGTCTGCTTTTTCCTGTGCCTCGTGCAACATTCTCGTGCTGCATCCGTGAGCATTCTCTGCCTTTTGACGATGCTGTTGAGAATCTCAGAGGATTCGTTCGGCTGCATAAGAGGGAGTTTATTAAGACAGGTGGCAGGGAAACTGTGTGCTGTCGATAGGGTTACTGCGTGTCCAGTGTGGCTTTGTAAAAACAGCCAAGCTTCCAAAATACATTTAATTGTAAATTCTTTCCTGTATGGTTAGCTAATTACATACTGAATCATGAAAAAGTCTAGTTAAAAAAATAAAGTTTTGTAATTCTGTCTCAAAAAGATAAAAACATGGTTCCTTTACCTCCCAGTTCAACTTGAAAAATTTCCTCACAGTGTCTATGTGTCAGACGCCTGCCCTTATGCATCGGGAAGGTAACACAGTCTACACTAGTTCACTAAAAAGAGCAGCAGCCGGGCTCTGTGCGGTGGTTTGCTTTCTGCCATCATTTTTGGCGTTTCACGTGGTGACCTCCATCATCAGCCCCGGCACGAAAGTCTGGCTGTGACCGGTCGGGCCTGTGTGGTGTGTCACACCTAGAGAGCCTGCAGAACAGCCAGTAGAATGTGCTCTTCTCTGGGCTCGGACAGTAGCTTTCTCCCCATCTGCTTCTAGTGATAACCTCACAAAATGGCAGGTGGTCACACCGAAGCTTGGTGAAGGTGCACCAAGGTGCCAGAGGGGACACTGGTCTCTGGAGAGCATCGTGCACAGATGTCACGACTCTGCCCCACGCCACCTACCTTGATAACTGGAGGTGCAAGTCCGTCACCCTCGTGTCTTCATTTCTTCCTTGGTGGCGGTGGGGGTTGCAGCCAATCCTGGAGACCCTTTTCAGTTCAGATATTCTGTGATTCCGCTTAGAAACCATCCTTTTCCTACTTACCTTTTATTTCGTTAGACTGACTTTATGATATATTTAGAGCCATTTTTATATTAACTGTCTGGCATTTGGAACACAGTACAAATAAGTTATAATTAAACGAGCTTTAAAACATTTCAGAGTAATCTGAAAAACACGATATTATGGACATTTAGATAATAAAAGAGCTAGTTAGGGAATTGAGAGAGATTTTTAGATACATACGATTTAACAGTTCGGTTCCGCACAAGTCCGTATTTTATTCTTTTAATTTTGAAACAACATTTTTAATAGGCTTTTCTGTTTCCTGATATTTTGTTTTCTTTTATAGCATGTCTTTCTATAGTAAATGGCTCACAGAGTAAATAGATCAGTTTACAATTTACAGTGTTGGTATTCTCTAATAAAATATCTGCTTAAAGATCAGTTGGAAGATGGCTCTACGGTGACTGTGCCTTGCCACTTCCTTCGTCGGCTGCTCCGATTCCGTTCGCCTTTTCCTGTGTGCTCTGCTGCACAGACCGTCTTTATCTTTAAACTGTTTTCTTACAGGAACGTAGGCGACTTTCACCCTCTCCTTTCTGAGTCTGCTTAGTGGATCATGGTGTTTGCTTTGCCATCGGCACGTTCGAGGTGAGGCGTAGGCAGAGCCTCCTTTGTGAAAGCAGTGGGCATCGACTCACGAGCGCGAGCGGCCGGCGTTTCTGTGTTTTGCGCAGAAGTCGCTGTGGCAGCCCCACCATCGGCGATGCTCATCATCCCCTTTGGACCCCTTTGTGCAGTAGCTCGGCCTGATTTTTGATTAGCTGGCCCCCACTTAACTTTCGTTAGTCAGAAAACATGAGTGAGTGGCATTGGAATTTCCGATCGAGGAAACCCGGAAGCCTGGTACAGGGTCCCCGGAGGCTCTGTGGACTCCATCCAGCCCCGTGCGCTTCACACCTCCGTCGTCTTAACCTGTCCTTGGGCCCTGCTCCCGAGCTGTGCCGTGTGTCATGAGCCTGACATGTTGATAGGGTCTCAGTTGTTAAAGGATTAGACGATCCTCATTCTGTGCTTCTCAGGAGAGCAGGAAAGAGGGCACTTGTGTTTCAGGAAGATGTACTGAGATGTACATCTTTTTAAACAGAATCTTAAACCCTTGAACATGCGGGTTAATTAAGTTATTTGGGAATTCTTGTATCTATTTCAGTTAACAAAGCTTTTAGCAAAGCAAAAGGTATTTCAGCCACTGCACAGAGATTTCTCCTGCAGTGGGAGTCATCTAACTGGGTTTCACTTTTTAAGTCAGACACAAAAACTCTACAGGTTCAGAGTGTTCTTCTTGATTTTATTGTTATTAGATAGTGACGAAATGTGGCAGTTAGGTGTGTTATTCATGTCACGTGTCATGGGTAGAAAGGACTATGGCTAGAAATAGTGGTTCTCTGGCTGTTAAATGTGTTTTTATACTTTTAATTATTTTTTTGCATGCGTGCATGCATTTTTCTTAAAAAGTGTGTGCAAATATTTTGTTATTAGAATAAAGCTTTCTTACTATTTTATCCTTAAGCATAACATTTCCAGTCTGACACTTTAACCCTTAAAAATGAAACACTACCAATCAATCTTTCTAGTCTGCATGTAATTGCCTAAAGCTAAAAGAAAGCTTTTTCTCAGCCAGTTGCAGTAGAAATGAGCTAATATATTGGCAACAGAATAACCATCAGCAATCAGCCCTTAGCTGTTTACTAATGAACTCCCAGATGATTGAAAAAATTTCAGAATCAGTGTTTTACTTCAGGCTGTACATGAACTTAACACTTCAGTTGTAGGAAAAGCAACTTATATACTATCCAAGTAAATAGCAGTGCTTCAGCTCAGTAAACCGCAGGCCTGGGAGGTGTTTGGAGCCAGTGGTAGAATCTCCTGCTTCACTAGTACAGTAGAAGTGCTTTTGTATGACATCGGGTGAAGCCTGTTCTTGAAATCAGTCTTTTACCGAATTTTATGATTCGATTTTATTTACGAAAAATTGCCAATACTGTTACATCTTATAGGAATTTCGAATCTGAAGAATAGGTTATTTTCCAGTGACTTACGAGCGTTTGAAGGGAAGATGATGAAACGTGAAGAGCAGAGTGGTGCAGATACTGACAAACGGTTGGGAAGAATTAGCTTATGGAAAGAAAAATATCCTCTTAGAACGAATAGATTTAGAAAAGACTGATTCACACCTTACCCTTCAGTACTGATGTTATAATAAGAAGCTGATGTCAAAAAAGTACAGAACAAAAATGTATCACAAAAGCATAATAAAATCATGGAACATAAGATTGTCGCTACAGTGTAGTAAAAAAAAAAAATAACAAAATGTACTTTGGGGAATGTAAATAGTTTTAAAAAAGAAACTGTCAAGTTTGACACCAGATGAGAAAGAACACCCTTAGTTTATTGACAGTTCATGTATAACAGCAGAGAAGATAGCTTTGAAATTCACTGTGCTAAAATATCCATTTTAGAGTAAAAGAGAACATATTCCTCCTTGATTTTTAATTTATTAAGAGCTGGTAAAGACTGGGAACTGCTGAGCTAGATACCCAGGAAGTAGGGAGAGGCACTAGAAACCAAACAGAATTGGGTTTCCAGCTCGATTAAGAAGGAATTAAAAATGACTACCGTAGAGTTTTTTCCTCAACCCGGTGCTGATTCTCATAGATTTCCAAAACTATGAGTAGAACTGAGAGGGATGGTCCTGGGTGTCCAGGTCAGTCCCCTCATTGACGGGCAAAGACAGGGAGGGGAGGTGGCTGTCCAGGGCTTACCTGTGCATCCCCTCCGTGCATGGAGCAGGTGCCAGGGCTGGGGAGCTCCAGTCTGGGCAGCACTGTTGGAACCGACGTTGAAGAGGAACTTCGGTACACGTGCGCACACACTTTTTTTTTTTAACTCGCGAGTGTGTTAAAAAGCTAAGCCGTACCAGAGCATGCGGCGTGTGGTCTAAAGTCAGATGAGGGCTTCTCGAGATTTGTCTTCTCTTCACGTGCTCTTCAGCCGGTGAAACGGGGGCATCTGTGTTCAGTAGGTGATACGTCCTCTGATTCAACTTTAATTGTGTGTGTGTGTGTGAGAGAGAAACTAAGCTCCTTGTTTCCTTTTTCTGAACGCAGGTTTCAGCAAACAGATGGTGGAAATCCTTAACAAGCACAATATCCAGTTTAGCAGTTTTGATATCTTATCAGATGAAGAAGTTCGTCAGGGCCTCAAAACCTATTCCAATTGGCCCACCTATCCCCAGCTCTATGTGTCTGGAGAGCTCATCGGAGGACTTGACATAATTAAGGTTAGAATCGAGAAGTCAGGACCTTGGGAAGAGCTTTTGTTTAGAGCACACTTTCATAAGTGCTGTAACAAATCTAAAATATAAATTTCTTAATCTTTGCATTTCCCACTATGAATCGGGGACGCTTACGAAGTTCTTCTGATGAGACGATTGATTGGTGGTCCATGTCATGGAATGGCCAAGGAGATTTATGTTATCATAAACATTTTCTTAAACTTGCTGTGTGTTTATTTCAGGAGCTAGAAGCATCCGAAGAACTAGATACAGTTTGCCCTAAAGCTCCTAAATTAGAGGAAAGGTAAGTGTTTTAAAAGTTTTAAGTAGTCTATCATTTATTCTTTAAAACATATTTTTGAGTTCTGTTTTTGCATCGCTTTTCTGTATGGAAATCAGAGGTCTGTTTGTGTATGCCAGGGTCGTAATTGTGTTGTTCCCAGTCAGACTAGTCATGCAAACCTGGGAAGGTCTGATTTGGACGGGGAGAGTTTTGCGTCAACTCAGTGATTACGTGGAGGACACTGTATTTACAGAAATGCCGTTGTCGCAACAGGCCGGCCAGGCTTTAGCTTTCTCCGCATTTGGAGCGGGCACCCAGCTGTCCGGTGCTCAGGTTTTAGTACCGGCTTCTCGTGGCGTAAGTCTGGATACTTACACAGAGCCCAGACGCCACCGCCATCACTGTGGAAGTCGAGTGTGACAGGCATGCGCTGCCTGTGTGGCGCTCATGTCGTTCTAGGCTGCGGTGACTTGAGTCCAGGGTTTTGGAGTCGTTTTCTGAAGGAAGGCCTGCAGCAGCCCTTAGAGAGTCATCTACAGAACTCTGGGACTTCGCCTGTAGGGAGACTTACAGGGATTTTTATTGTAACAAATATGAACTAACGTAGAGGTTTAAAAGAAATTTATTTCGAAGTACAGCAGCATAGCAGCCATTCGTTGTCGGGGCTTGAGTTTGTAAAGTAAAACTTCATGTTGTAACTGTCTTGCCATTTAACCTTTTGAGAATTTCTAAAAATGTTTAATGATCAACACCTCATTTATCTGTTCTTGGTTAATAAAGTAATCCTCATGAAAAGTATTCCATATATGTCAAACTGACCTTTAGTGCCACATTTCCTCAAACGATTTACACCCTTTCCTGCCCTTTCTGGTAAGGAAGTGATGCTGCTTGCTTCCCGCTCTGTGACTCTGGGACCCCCTGGTCCCCGCTGGATAGCCCCGGGGCTGGCCGAGGCCGTGCTCTTTATGTGCTTGTGTTTGCTTTCTGTTTATTTTGTTCTCTGCTGAATACACCTTGCTATTTATGTCCCTGTTTCTTTCTCCTGTGCTGTGTCTGTATCTACTCTGGTTTCAGACACCAAAAGGTGACTGTCTAAAATTATGTAGAAAGGAAACTTCAGTGTATTTTGAGTGATAAATAAGTCTCCCAGTAAGACAGTGCAGGAGCCCAAGTCCCAGCTCGGTGACACCTCCGTGAGTGGGACAGATGGGCCTTTGCTGGCTCCCTGGTCCAGGTTGTCAGGGTAGAAGGTGAATGATCAGGATCAACATTGTGTTCTTTATTTCTTACTGTTGTTTTGAGAGTTAGCTACTAGTACTATATTGAAAATGTACGTGACGTGGCTTTGTGCGTGGTTTGTGGTTTCATTTGTGATGACTTCATTCTATGAGGAGATTTTGAACCAGGAATGATCCAGAGAACCAGGAGAGGGAGAACACGGTGCCGGGACCGCCACAGGGTGGAGAGATTCTTGAGCCCCCTCTTCCCCACGCCGGCTGTCCCTGAGATCTGTTACTGACCTCCAGGCTGACATGCGGATGGCGGACATTCCTGACAGCAAGTTAGATCGTGACGTTTGAAAAACGAGTGTATGAAATAGTAAACGTGAAATTCAGATGAGAGCACTTTAGCAGCCGGTGTTCCAGGGTCTCACGCTTCCCCACCCAAGTGGCCTGAGCTCCAAGCGGGGAGCCGGGCACAGCCTTGCCATGCAAAGGGGACTCGCGGGACGGGCCTGAGAATTCTGCACAGGCTCTGAATATGGGCCCCTTTGTGCACAGTTCCTTATTGAATCGGTGATTATTATTTTTTTAGTACTGTGAGTTAATGGGCTCCAATTGCAACTCGAAGGAACATTCGTTGCCTTAAAAAGCCATATCGTGCTTTCCAGTGGCTTAGGGAGAGAAGGTAATAAAGGGAAACGTCAATGCATTTGCTTGTTTAATGCCACTCAAAGCTGTGAACTGTCATCCCTCTGTCCCTCAGATGTGCGTGCGGCTCCTGACGCCGAGCAGAAGTGGTGTTTAATAATCGAGCTGAGGCATTTTATATCAATTTTCTCTCCTTAGGCTCAAAGTACTGACAAATAAAGCTTCTGTGATGCTCTTTATGAAAGGAAGCAAACAGGTAAAGAACTCAAAAATGGTTTTACTTGTAATTTCGTTTGATGATAACATTGGCAACGAGGGGCCACTTAGATCTCTCTTCCTGGCTTCAGCCCGCGAGGCTGTGGCACCATCGCACAGTCGGCTCGGCTGCGGTGGCCTTGGTGGCCCTTACAGAGATATTGCGCGGGGCGGACTCGCGATCGGCATCTCGGTGGGGAGCACTGCCTCCTGCTGCCGGGCGTGGTCAGCTACCCTGGTCCCCACTGTCCGCACTTCCGTGGCTCTGTGCGGTGCCGTCCGCGACCATCTGCGTGTCCCCTGACCCCGGCAGCGTGCACCTTGGTCGCCGCACTTCCCATAGTTGTCAGGTTTGCAGCTCATGACCATCCGTCCAGATGTCTGTGGTGGAGAAATGGACCCTGCCGCCTCGAGATGCTCGGCACGTGTTTGACGAATGAGTGAAACAGCTTTTCTCCTTTCTTTCACGTGGCTGTATATTCCTCCTTTTCTAAAAAGAGCATCCATCAAATTCTCAGAGGGCCTGCCCCTAAGTGGTTCAGAACCAGACAGCCCGACTTCCCTCCTCATCCTGAGTCGCCATGTCGCTCCTGTCTCTGCAGTGGGATGGCTCTTGTAGCTTTGTCACTCGACCTCCCGGAGCCTCCCGTTCCTCTCTTGTGAGCAGACAGCAGGGCAGATGGCAGGGCGCCCACAGGATCTTTTCAGAACGAGGTTACGATAACTTGTGCGGAAGTTAATATAACTAACGTAGTGAAAGCAATTAGTTTACATAATGAATTAGTTAATATAACTGTTATAATGAAAGCAATATAACTAGGAAAAAGGTAATATGAATGTCAACATGTTGTGATCGCTGGGTAAGGACCCAGATCCTTTGACTGGTTCCCACTGTTTATTAAAACAAAATGGAGGATGTTAATGATTCCCGGTAGTGGAAAAAATCATCTTATTTTTCTTCTTGGTGATTATTTTTATTCTCAGAACATTTTTTCCTGAAGGCCAGAAAGTATTCGTACATCTTGGGAACAGAATTATTAGCTCTGTTAAGAGGTTTATGGGTGCCAAATCTTTTCTACAAGATTGATAGGATTTGGGATCCTGTGGCGTAAAAAAAGTAAGATTTCCATATCCTCAAAAAAGTTTGATACTCTATAATGTAAAGATAAATTTACATTTATCTCTAATGGAACAGGAAAATGACGATTATAATCATTGCAAAAAGGTTGAGTTAGTTGAGATCATCCATCTGGATGAGTGAGTAGAGCATGGAAGTTTGGTGTAGGAGAGCTTTTGACCACAAAGATGATGAGCTACAAGAACACATGCCACCTCTGTGTCTACAGTAAGTGTGGGCCAGCGCCAGGACGATGTCAGGATGGGCCAGGACTCTATAAAGTGCAGGGGGACTCAGGTGGCCCCCGGATCCGCGTCCGCCGACTACGTTTGGTGTGCAGAGGCATCGGGGGCCTGTCGTGTGGCGCGCTGGGCCGTGCGGCCCTACCACGCCGGGGGCCGTGTGGAAAACGCAGGGCATCTGAAAGCTTGTTTTTCTAAATTTAGGAAGCTAAATGTGGATTCAGCAAACAAATTTTGGAAATACTAAATAGTACTGGGTAAGTACATCTTATTTTCAAATGGCATAGTTAAGAAATTTCAGCTCTTCGGCTGTGCTGCTGCTGTTTTCCAGTCGTTATGTTTGTAACTGGTCATGTATTATATTTACTTTCGCTATAATGTTTTGCGAATGCTTTAACTTAGATTACAGTAGTTTTCTGGCCAGTGTCAGCCTATTGGTAACATAGAGACCCTGGGGACCCCTGCGGTTCTCAGACACCATAGACATAACTATTTGTCTGCTCCCCAGAGGGAAGTTCATAACTGAATTCTTACCAGGCATAAAGATGTTTTAGGGAAAGTGTATTTGAGCTTTTTAATTTTCTTTAAAAAACTATTCTAGTTTCTAAACAGTTCAGGAAACCGATAAGGCACATGTGAAGGTCCGTTATCTGGACCTGAGAGGTGGGTAAATTAAGTCGCAATGTCCATGCTTTTGATCTGCCCGGGGATGGAGCTGCCAGGTAAGAAAATTGTGATTGATTTTTGTGATTAGAAACAAAATCGCTTTATATATCAATTATATTTAAATCAAAAAAATTAAAAAACAAAAACAAAACCACTTATTTGGAGAGATTTAACAAACGTTCTGTAGGGTTCATCACATGTTTTTGCTTATTTCTCTCCATTATTTCTTATTTCACAATTGCTTTTTAATATTATATTCTAACCATAGCGTTAAGTAGATTTGGTAAACACTGTGAAATTATAGAGAAAGTAGTCCTTGAAATATTTCGACATTCTTGGGCAGAGTTGAAAGTAGGTGAGTAGCGTGGAGTTTAATACAGCTTTAGGTACATAAAAAAAATGATCGTTTTTTTTTTTTTCCCCCCCAAACAATTGTGCCATTTTACAGAGGAGAATCTAACTAGCCTATTTTCCTATGGTACCCAGCTGCCCCTGCTTTTCCCTACCCGAGGACAGAGGAGAGGCTGGCTTGCTTTGGGTCATCAGTTTTGTGGCCCTGCTTCTCTGTCTTCCTCCTGCCATAGGTCCACGGTGAGACACTCAGTTCCCCTCTCCCTGGCTCAGCGTGTCCCCTCGGGCACACCCCCGTAAGTTCCTGAGGCCAGAACTTGACAACACCGGGCCCATCTCAGCTCACGTATTTGCGGGGGAAGTCTCCCTGGCTTTGCTTTCTGCCCCATGCCTATCTGTCCAGAGGGGATGGCAGTGACCAGTTGTCCCAGAGCACGGGCGTCTTGGGAGAGAGTGGCCTCCGGCCCTGGCCTGGCTGACCCCTCTACCCTGAGAGGCCCTGGGGACCCTTGTGGACCCCCGCGGTTCGCCTTGCTGGGAGTCACAGCACGAGGAGAAAGCTCCATCCGTTTATCCCTTCCCCCCCTCCCCCGCACTGGTCTTCTCTTTGCTGGCCACAGGTCACGTACTGAGGCCCGAGTCCCAGGAGTCCACTGAGGTGTGAGAGGCACCTTTTCGGGAGGCGATCAGGTCTCCCACGCGCGCTTGGGCCCAGTACTCAGACCCCGCGGAGGGAGTCCTGTGGCTCATCACTTACCGCACTGTTCAGGTCGAGAGGTGTGCCTCCTCCCGTCCACCTTGCAGCGAGACTTATGTTGTGTGGACCTTTTTTTTTAACATCCCTTCTTGCCCTTTTGAACCTCCATTTTTTGGTACTTGCTGCCGATTGATCTTGTCTTTTGTAAATTTTTTTCTTTTACTGCTTTGTACCATGGACAGTTTTCTTGGGAACTTGTTTACTAAGTAAACAAGATTTCCTTGTGAAGTGGTTTCGGTGTCCGTGTGTGACATTTCCTTTGGCTAATGTTTGGCAGTGCACACACGCCCCGTCTCCTGCAGGGGCTCAGCCATATGTTCCTGCT